TACTTTCATGGGACGCATAAAAGTTCATGGGACGCATATACTCTCATGGGACGCATAAAAGTTCATGGGACGCATGTCCTGAGATAGAGCCTTTTATTTTTAATAAATAGGAAGGAACAATAATTCACGAAATTATGCATGCATTAGGTTTTTTGCACGAAATGTCTAGGGTTGATCGCAATGAATTTGCTTGGATCAATTATGAAAATATTAATGTGGTTGGTCTAATCTTAATATTTTGTAAATAAGCATTTTATAAAAGAAATATCTATATAACGAAGAATTTGCATTTACGTTAATGCACGCGATAGTTGTGATTTCATGAGTCGAGAACGCAAATGCATATATTCATAATTTAAATTCTTAAGTTGAAAACTAGGATTTTCGTAGTGATGTCCCTAAATTTTTAAAAAGTTTGCTTAAACAATAGTGTTTCACCGGAACCGGAACTTTTAAAAAATTTTTGCTAGCAAATTTTAAAAAATTTGTAGTTTAAGTAGGGTTGTCTGTTCACCAACCGAAACCGAACCGAACCGAGACTTTTGATTAACCAAAACCGAACCGAAAATTTGTCGGCGATAAGTGATATATTTGGGTTAGAGAGTGGTGTATGAACGGATTTGGTGGTACAAGTGTTTGATATCGCACGATATAAGGATTCAGAATTGTAATGGGTTTAAGGGGTATCAGTGGAATAAGGAGCGATATACGTTTTATGGGGATAAGGAAGTAAAGAAGGATATTAGGCCCCTTGATATCACACTATATAACTCAAAATCCACATTGATCCATCCAAGTCATCCGTTATACCATTCAACTTTCTTTTTCAGCGCCGCAGGCGAAAATTTTGAAAATTTCTGATGGCTGTAAGCAGCAAAATTCATCATTTATTAGTCATACGAAAAATTTTAAGAATTTTAGAGGGCCAAAAAACCGTAATTACTCCATGTAAAAATAAAATAATTTTTAAAACAAAGTTAAACTCATAAAAATGAGTTATTTTTTAAAAGAAAAATTTGAATATTTATTGTCCTAAGATTGGCAAGCGAACCCAACTTAAAATCATTAACACCTTGAGTGAAGCCCAAACCCTAACCACTCGAACACCGGCTCAGCAGAAGGGAACTGAATGAAAATAAACATATTTCTTTCGATTTTTTTTATTACAAGTATGAAAGTACGAGTATTTTATTAATATTTTAAAAAAAAACTAATCCTTAGGGGTGTAAAAAAGTTCCGGTTTGGCCGGAACCAATTTGTAAACCGGAGCCGGAACCGGATTTATCAATTAATTCTTTTAACTTCAAATTCAGACCAAAACTCATCTCTTTCATTATTAGAAATGGAAAATTTCATTTCTGAATTGTATTCATTTGAAAGTTGATATTTTCTGGATTTTAAATTGTTATATCTAACTTCCTCCTTAACATTTTCTGCTCTTTCACTTATTATAAGATCTCCAGCTACATTATAACATCTAATTTCCTTCACCATTTTAGAAAGATTTTTTGATGTTTCTATATACTAAAATTAGATTGGGTTAAAATTGTTATGAAATCTATATTCAATATTTGATAACTAAAGGACATTTAAAAATTAAAAAAATCGGCTTTTATGTTTATCTAGATCAGAGATGCACACAATTGCGGACTGAGTAAAATTGAGTGTTTTTTTACTTGCGGATTGCGTTTGCGGAAATTTTTTTCAATTGCGTGCATCCCTGATCTAGATCTGCATATTAAAGGACATTTTGGAAAAACAGAATGTACATCCCAATAATTTTGCAATACATATATTCAATCATTGCAAAAAATCATATACCTGTATAATTAGATTGTAAAAACTTGAGTCAAGAAAATCATAATAAACACTATAGAATCCATTTCCTCTATTTGTCAAAAGTTTTAATAAATTATTACTCAATTGCTCTATTCGGTTGATCATGTGTATTTTAACATTAAATTTATTAGAAATTAGATGGTTCAACGCAAATTTTAAAAATCTCTCGTTATAAATAGAGAGTTTGGCCATCCGAGAATGAATTTGTAAAGGTATATTTGTTTTATTTCCATCAAATAATAGTTCAATCATTTGTGGATTAAATATAAATGTATCAAACTCAACATATCTGAAGGCACATTCAAATATTTGTTGAAAGAAACAGCGAGAAATTTTCATATCTTCAATATTTTTTGGAATGTTTTGTAAAAGTATAGTGACAATCATAGAACAGAAAACTAAATATAAATAGAAAATATTTCTAAGGAGCTAAAAATAAATTATCTTGTAAAATAATATTAAATTAACCATTTCCGAATTGCCGATTTATTTCTATATTAATAGCTGCAATATCTCTTTCTGTATCCTCATCACTTAAAAAGATGGGAATTCTTTCCTCTATTCCACATTTCCACTAAATTTTAGTATTTTAAATAAAAAATAAATTCATCGTTAACCTTTTTCTCTAGTTCTTCACTCAATTGAAAGTCATAAAGAATGGGGTCTGGTTTAAAGAATTTATATTTATTTAAATTCCACTCAAGATGATACAACTAAAAAAATAGAGAATCAATTTAATATTAACAGATTACAGTTTGGATTTTATAAAATTCCTTCCGAGCCAATTTCTCCTCAAATTCATTAATAAAATTTTTTAAGTAAATATTTGTTTGTTGAATATCGAATAATTGGTCGGAAGTAAAGAATTTAAATATATCTAGTTGAACTTCAAACGGAAGAAAATACATTTTAACTTTTCTGTCTGAAAACGATAAATAATTTTAAAATATTCATGGATTTATCATTAAAAATAAGAGTAAAATAAAACATGACGAACGAAAAAAGATAACTAAAAGGCCGATAAATTTTCTTCTAGCCATTCTCTCTTGTGTAAAAGCACAAAAAACTGACCACTGTTTTGTTGCGCAACAAGAAATTTTTTATTAAATCCTTAAAACAGCCTCCACTAAACCACAATTCACTGCATAATTATTCTAGTGCCGTTGAGCGGGGGGTCATTTAGCTTTTTATTATAAAAGGTGAATAGCTTGGCATCATTTTTGTGTCAAGACGAGAAAACATCGTTTAAAGAAAAAAATTTTCTTCAATTAATTTATTACTAACTATTCAATATGTTTTAAATATAACTATAGAAGCGAATTGGCATTATTTAGTGTTATTCAAACATTATTAAAATTTTTATATTTTGAAAAATTGATATTTTGAATATACTTCACCAAAAGACTCAGTTGAGGCTTTGATTTGCAACAAAGCACTGAGTTGACAAATCTCTAGAGACTTCCCATCATACCGGAAAAATTTTAAAAATTTCGCTTTTCGCATTTCGCTTTTCGCGGATTTTCGCCTTTTTTGGACTTTCGCTTTTCGCGTTTTGCTTTTTAAATTTAATTTCGCTTTTCGCATTTCGCGCTTCGCTTTTTAAAATCCGTTTCGGCACACCCTTGGTAAATACCTAACTTTAAAAAATATTTTTGAACCCTTATTTGTTGTTTGAATTTTAATTTTTTAATTATTAGAAAGCCCTTGAAATTTGCTACAAGAAGCAACTATCTCATTTCACAGAAAAAATTCTACGGGAGATAAAGCCCGTTAATTTTTTAAAGCAAAAAGAGGCAGTAATACGCAAATTCGGACCAAGCCAAAGACATGTTTTTGAACGTATTACATTACGGCAAACATGTAGAATAAAGGTATTTGCCTATAAATCCTCTTATTATTAATTATAGAAACGGGGGAGAATTTAAACTTTTTTTAATTATAAAGGTATTTAAAGAAAGATAAAAAATTTTTTTGGAAACTGTACTTTGCTAGTAATGGAAAAATTTATTTTTTAAATTTATATTTATCTTTAATTTCCTTTATATTTCTTTAAGTACCTCCCTTAATTTGAATATATTATTTCCCAAAATACAAACAAAAAAACAAGCCAAGCTATTAAAAAATCGCAAAAAGGTAGAAGAAAGAAGGGTTGTAGGTCAAGCTAAATTTCTTACTTTTTTGCACCGCAGGCGCTTTTTGACCTACAACTTTTTTTTCTCTCTATTTATATTTAAAATATCTTGGCTTGCTTTTTTTGAATAATTTTTATATTTTAAAATTACCTTCAATAAACTTTTATAACTTAATAGGACAATAATATTTTTCACATTTATAAACTTATTTTAATTTATTAAAACTTAGAAACTTCTAAAAATGGATCAAGAAGGATTATCACCAAATTCTGATTGGATTTTGGTTGAAAAAGAAGGAAATGATTTTGAGAAAATTGAAACTATTAGTGACAATATTCAAAAAAATTTCGAGGAAGAGAAGGAAAAGACTGTTAATCTTAAAAGAAAAAATAATTTTCTTGAAAATGAATTGAAGGAAATGGATAAAGTTTGGATTTTTTATTGAATATTTTTTTAAGTTTTAGAAAATTCAAAAAATAAATTCTGACCATAAAAATGAAATTGAAGAAATAAAACGAAATTTACAGAAATTAATTGAAGAAAATAATAAACAAATAAAGGCTGAAAACGATATTTGTTTACAGAAAAAGGATGAGAAAATAAATTTCTTGGAGGAAGAAATTAAAAAGGTACTTAAATAAAAATATTAATTTCCAAATTAAATAAATTAAAGTTTTGTTCATTAAAAAATTCTGAACATAAAAATAATTTTAGTTTAGAATTTAAAATAAAAAAATAAAAGTTTTAATTTTAAAATTATTTTTAAAATTAATATTTAATTTTATATAAAAAGACAAATGATTTGTTTGAGAAAAAGTTGGATGATTTAATCAAATTAAACAATTTGACTCGTAATAAATCTGTGGTGGTTAGTTTAGAATTTTAATTATAAATAATTTTTAAAGAATTTTATTAAAATTAAAAATAAATGGAGTGAAATTGAATATATTTGTAAATGTTGTGCAAATAAATGTATAAATATAAAACCTATTGGTAAATGTATTAATGGATATGGAAATTTAATTAATGATGAATATATTAAATATATTAATTGTTTGGAGGGGTTAGGTAATTTATTGAATTTTAAAATTTTTTAAAATCGTTTTTAGGGAAAAATGCCATTGTTTCCAATTGTGCAGAAAATTTATTTAAAAAACCAAAAAATTGCTTTAATTATTCATTATATTATTTTGAAATTGAATGCATATTTGAGGGAGAGTTAAATGCTTATGGAAAATGGATGGATATTGGGCTTGAAAATTGTAGTACAAATAAATGGATTAGATTTTCTGCTGAGTTTGCTACAATTTATGACGAGAATAATGAGGAATTTGAACTTGACAATATTTCTTGGAAAAATAAAGATATTTTTGGTTGCGGATTAGTATATCCACCAACTAATAAAATAAATGAATTTCCTTATGTTTTCTTCACACAGAATGGAGAACAAATTGGTAAATATTTAATTAAAAATTATTAACAAAAGATTATTCTTTAAGGTATGGCTATATTATTAAAGGAGAATTTCGACTCATACAAACCACATGTTTGGCTTGAAAATTGTTCCATTGAGGCTAATTTTGGAAATGATTTACAAACTAAACCATTTAAGTATGAAATTTCAAAACATTTTGTTCTCAAAGAATTTTATTGAGAATTTAATTTGTTTTGATTTTACTCATTTGATTTATGTATATTTCTTAACAGTAAAATAATCAATTTTTTAAATTTTTAGTAATTCTTTATTAATCAAATTTTCTGCCCCTATTGTTTTTGTCATAACTTTTTCAGATGTACATAAATGAAGATTGATAATTCTTTTATTGTTTTATTCCTAGCACTAAAAAAATTCTATACCAAAATTGTTTTTAAATTTTTTAATTTGACTTATTATTCTTACTTCGAAGTTCGAGCAAGATTTTTTTGATGAAAGTTGGTCTGGGCTAAAGGCAAATTTTTGAAATATGCAAAGTTTATATCATTCGAATGTGATTCGAATTAGGGTTGCAGTTTTCGAACCGGGTAGACGTTCTATTCGAATAACTTATTCGAATAACGTCAAAATTGTTCATGACTGAAATATGGATTTTTAAAGAAAAAAGAATATAGATGTTAAATTCAAACTTTTTAGGCGAAAATTTTAAAAATCTAATTATTGTCTATTTCGAAGCTTCTCAACGAGCCAAGTCGATTGGTACAAAAAAAAATAGAAAATTTTTGGACCAAAAAATAGAAATTTATTTTACAGATAATAAAGCTTGTTGTAAAAAAATATTATTCAAAAAAATATCGTTCAAATAAGGAAAAATTTATCAAACGAAAAAAATATTTAAAATTCATAAAAAGCAGATAAAAAACAAAATTTTAATAAAATTCTGTCACAATTAAATGATTCGAAATATCATATTTAAATGGTTTAATCTCCAAATCATTTCCAAAATTCGCTTCAACAGAACAACCTTCTAATGCAACAAACAGTTTATATGACTCGAAATTGTCTTTTAATAAAATACCTTTACCTTTAAAAAATAATTTATTTTCTAAAATAATTTTTAGTAAATATTTACCAATTTGTTTTCAGTAGTTAGTCCCACCCCCGTGTCGTGGGGGCAGAAGGGGCTGTCAGTTAATTAATCAAAATTAAAAGGTGTGAAACCGGTTCCCTCCCGGCCCCTTCCCCACCAACTGAAAGGTTTAGAAGCTGTTGCTTCCCCTCTCTAATAAAAGGTTTCCCTCACCAACCCCACTAACCAAAAGCTTTTGCTTCCCCCATCCAACCTTCCAACCAAAACCTCTTCTTTTGTTTTCCTCAAACCTAAACCTATAAGGCTCTTTCTTTTGTCCATCCAAAGCTTTTGGGACTTCCCTTCTTTTATTATTAAATATTATTCCCCTTTTTTGTTTTCGCGCTATTGAGCCCTTTTCTTTACCGACAAAAATACTTGCCTTTTCTTTAAACAAATCTTATTGAGACATTTACTCTCAACATGCAAATTTTTCTTTTTGCCTCCAATTTTCCCATAAATCTAATCCTTTTATTTTTCTCTTTTATTTTTCGCGTTTCACCGACAACATAGTTGTCTGATACTCTTTCCTTTTTCATTTCATTCTATGCCTATTTTTATATAATAGGCAAATTCTATTATTTTTTTGTATATTTTTTAATAATTTTAAATTTATTTTTAAATATTTATTTTAAAGAATTTATTTGTATTTTTTGAAGGGTTGAGAAAAAAGGGGTTTGGGTGGGTTTGGTTTGGGATTTTGAAAAATTAAAATTTTATTTAATTTTTAAACAATTTTTAATAATTTATTATTTAAATATTTTTTTACCCGTGGTTGAGAAAAAAGTCTGGTTTTGGGTAGGGTCCTCAAATTTTAACGGGTCCTATAATTGTTTTATTTTTTAAATTATTTATTCTATTTATTTATATTATTTGGAGGGACGGGTTGAGAAAAAAAAAGTCTGGGGTTTGGGGAGGGTTTCAAAAAATTACTAGTCTTATATATGTTTTTAATGATTTATCTATTATTTATTCTATAATAGATTTTTATTTATATTTTATCACTTCAATTAACATCTTCTAATTTAAATTTATTTTTAATTGTTTGGAGGGTATGGGATGTTGGGATATTCGGAGGGGAATTACTATTTGATATTTTTCATTTTTGGTATTTAGTGGGTATATTTGGTACCGATCCAAGGTTTTGAAATTTTTATAACATTTCAAAATATTTACTAAATCAAAATCAAATTTAGTAGTTAGCGAGCTACAGTAGTTAGTCTTTGGAGTAAAGTTGTTAGTAGTTCAGTAGTTAGTCGCCCTGTAGTGGGTGCTCATGTATTTGTGGGTGCACTCAAAAATGGGTGCCACTTTTTTCACCAGCTCAGTCAAAATTTTGTAAGCCAATGATCCAGATGTCTTCCTTTTTCAGCGCCGCACGCACAGTTTTGTATACAGTAGTTAACTATAATTTAATGTAGACTAGTGTACACCTCATCACATTTTTTATGTTCGACATCTGGGGAGATATTTATAGTATACCATTTTGGGGCGTTGCACATTTGACCGAAATGTATTTTGGTGAAATGTATTTGTATCATTTGTCAATTTGATTCTTCGTTTATCTGGGGTATAAAAAGGGACGATTTATTGAAAAATCTTTCATTTTTTCAAAATGTCCGATATAAAATTCCCAAAAATATTACCTGGGCCCGTAGAATAAATTCGGGGTTGGATAACCCGGTTAAATAACCCGGTTAAACAACCCAGGGGCAAATAACCCTTAGCTACGGGTTAAAATCGGTAGAATAAATTCAACCCCGAGTTAAGGGTTATTTAACACCGAGCTAAAGGTTATTTAACTAGTTGAGTTACTGGGTTATTTGACCCTTTATATTTTATTGCCATATCCATTTCGCAATAATTGTTTACGCAATAATTGTTATTATTAAAAAGAGATATAGTCAAATGAAAAAGTTTAAAAAATTTATAAAATTTTTAATTGTTGAATAAATTTTGCTTCAAAAATTTTTGTAAGAGTTTTTGCTAAAAAATTTTTGTTAAAAAAATTAAAAAATTTTTGTTAAAAATTTTTTTATGCGTTTTGATAAGAAATTAAAATTTTTAAAAATTTTGCAATTTAATAAATGTTTTAATTTTTTGGAAATTATGCATAATTCGCATGTTACCCTGCCCCCTAGTAGGGTTGCAATTTGCCCCTTACCTGCGGGTTATTTAACCCGGGTAATTAATTTATTCTACCGGTAATGTTACGCGGGTCAGATAACCGGGTTATCTGACCCGGTCATTTAACCCGAAGCTAGGGGTTTGAATTTATTCTACGGGTTACGGGTTATTTAACCCCAAGGTAGGGGTTGAATAACCCTTACCCCGAATTTATTCTACGGGCCCTGAAGTTGAGTTTAACATCTCAGCTACAGGGATTACAATTTCCAGTGTCCGCTATACAAACCCCCGTTTTCTTCCTTACGACCAAGGAGGGAAATGTCGTAAGTGCAAGAGCACTGAAGTCGAATTGGATTTTATCATAGTAAAGGAAGGGGTTGTAGTCTATTGCACCCGCTTTGAAGGAAGTCGATTTGTTCCCTTCGATTCATTATACGATTTACCAGGTCATTGTTTCTTCAAAGTAAAGAACAAAGGACGAGTCTTTAATGTACCGTACAACGATACTACTCACATTCCTTGCCCCAAAACTGAACCAGCTGAACCACATAGTCCGCCCGAAATACCCGAAGAAGTGACACAGACACCCCAACCCTTGGATAACCTTCCAACAATGGATGAATTGGATGATTTCTTCCAGAGTCTAGATGCATCGGTTACAGGCATTCCAACCGATTAAAATGATATTTAAGTGAAAATTTCGTATATCCATAAATATTTATTATGAATTCATTAGCTTTCTCGGATAAAGATTTAAAATTTAAATTACCTTTTGGGATGATTATATCTGGTCCTAGTTCAAGTGGTAAAAGTACCCTCCTACTAAGACTAATATCTGAAGCTCAAGAATTAATTTACACTAAACCAAAGTCTATACTTTACTGCTTTGGAGAAATGAACAATATTGTACCACTCTTACAAAAATCTGGAGTTGATGTATTTTCTGGGGTTCCCCCTGAGGATTTAATCAAAAAATATCCCAAGCCTCTTTTACTAATTCTCGATGATTTGAATCTTTCTATTGATGAAAAATATCTATCTGAATTGTTTACCAAGAAATCTCATCATCAAAATTTTTCTATAATTTTTGTTACACAAAATTTATTCGATAAGAAAATTAAAGTAGCACGACAAAATTCTCAGTACCTCATGTTAATGAGAGCACCCAATTCAATGCTTTCCATCAGAAACATAGGGGTGCACCTATTTCCAAAACAGTTGGACTATTTTCTAGACTCATATCGGCAAGCAACCAAGCAACCTTATGGTTACTTGCTCATCGATATGCATGCTTCCTCAGATCCTACCCTGCGTCTTAGGACCAACATATTTAAGGAAGATGATGAAAAGATAATTTTCTTTCCAAAAAATGGTTAATCAATTAATTTCTGAAAATATAAAATTTTTACATTTATTGTCAAAGACCAAATCTAGAAGAAAAAGGAAAAGACTCTTAAAATTGTCAAATAGTGAACAACTTTTAGCATTAGCTGAAATTTGTTTGAATATAGTAAAAGAGAGGTTCAAACTTACAACTCGGCAAAAGAAAAGATTATTACCCCATGCAGAATTTGTACGAAGTTTGAGTAGGGTTAGGAGCGAAAGGGGAGCCAGACATGTTATTAATCAAAAAGGTGATGGAGTGGGAGTCTTTGCAGCCCTCTTAACACCCGTTCTCATTGAAATGGCTAGGATGCTGACTATAAAAGCCCCAGGCACATCTTAATTTAAAATTAAAATTATGGCTAATAAATTTATTCTAGTTCCTGAAGAAATTTACAAAGGTTTG